CACTGGAGCACCACTTCAGATTTTGGCCTTGGACCCTGAAGGGGTTAACACACGACATATATCTTCTCTCAATCTTCTCGACAGTACTAACATAATTACTGAAACACTCAATGTGACATCAAGTGATGTCAGGCGTGACGTCGTGAGGTTACGTCAGCAGCACTGTGACGTCAGCATACATCTCGAGGTGACATCAGGCAGACATCGTGACGTCATGAAGTCAGGCAGCAGCATCGGTAATTCATGTGGCTCGTAGATCCGCGTGGCGTCGTCCACACCTCACATGGTGTCGGGATCCATGTGGTGTCGTGATCTACGTGGCATGCTGATCCACGTGGCTTGCTGATCCATGTGGCTTGCTGATCCACGTGGCTTGCTGATCCATGTGGCTTTGTGATCCATGTGGCTTAGAGTGGCCTCGGGTACTCGGATACACAGCTCTGGCAATGAATTCACATGGAAAACAGCAGAAAACACAGCAGAGGGAGTGAGTACATAGTGGTGGAATGTGGTGGTATACAGTAGGGCGAGCGTGGGTGAGGTGAGGAATGGCCACTTCCTCTCCCACATACATGGAGACACGCACACTTGACACAGAAATCAACATGGAGACACGCACACTGGACACAGAAATCACCACAAAATTCGCCTCTGGCTTGCTGAAATAGCTGTGCTGAGCTGAACATACAAGTGATGCTGAACACGTGACTTGAGAAACAGCTTGGGACGCTGTGGCATAGGGTCACTGGTACGCCACTTACAATTCTCAAAGAAATTCGGCAAATTTCGGCTAGATCCTGCTTGTACCTGTGTCTGGATGCTGAAACGTGCAGACACGGCATCAGGATAACTCGTTGAGAGACGGATGTTTCTAGTGTAGGGTGATGAAGTGAACACAACTTCATTCCATGTTCCTTCCTCTCTCCAGGCAAACACAACTGCTGCAACCACCGCTTCCCACCATTTATAACCAGTTTGTTTGGTGATACTGGAAGCGGGTGAGTGAATGATGCATCTTCGGAGGCTTTACTTTATTTGCAAAGTCGTAGTGGGTACACAGGCTTGTGTGTTGTGCCCATGGCCCGAGAGGGCTATGCCCATGAGGGAGAGAGGGAGTAGGACTGTTGACTGCTTCTAGGCCGCTGAGTGAGTGAGGGCGAGTGGGACCAGCATCCCACTGGCCTGGGCAGGCCTGAAGAGGGCAGCACTTGAGTGCAGCGAAATATGAACTAAGCTGGCAGACAGCATAGGCTGTCTGTGCAGACAGTACAGGCTGTCTGTGCAGACAGTACAGGCTGTCTACATCACTGGTACAAGTCGTCTGGCTACCACATCTCATATTTATGTTTATTTATTCTACTGTGGGGTGTATTTATCATCTTTGTGTGTTTATTATATACACTAATTTTGAAAAAAAATCATAGATGGATTAATGAAAATGTGTATACAGTGGATCCCCGGTATTTGATATTAATCCGTTCCTGAGAGCTCATCGAATACCGAAAATATCGAAAAGCGAATCAGTTTTCCTCATAAGAAATATTGGAAATAAAATTAATCCGTGCAAGACTGGGTACCCAAAAGTATGAAAAAAAAAATTTTACTACATGAAATATTACGTTTAATGCAATAGAATAATTACAATAACAACAATAACAATAGAATAATTGACACTTACCTTTAATGAAGATCTGATGATGATTGATGGGATGGGAGGAGGGGAGAGATGTTAGTGTTTAGAAGGGGAATCCCCTTCCATTAGGACTTGAGGTAGCAAGTCCTTTTCCGGGGTTACTTCCCTTCTTCTTTTAATGCCACTAGGACCAGCTTGAGAATCACTGGACTTCTGTCGCACAACTTATCTGTCCATAGTGACCTGTACCTCCCGTTCCTTTATGACATTCCTAAAGTGTTTCACAACATTGTCAGTGTAATAGTCACCAGCACGACTTGCAATAGCTGTGTTAGGGTGATTGTCATCAAAAAAGGTTTGCACTTTAAGCCACATTGCACACATTTCCTTAATCTTTGAAGTAGGCAACTTCTTCAATTTCTCTATACCCTCCTCCGAAGCAGTTTCCTCAGGTGTGGCCTCTTGCTGTTGAAGATGATCTAGCAGCTCATCAGTGGTTAGTTCTTCATTGTCCTCCTCCACCAAATCTTCCACATACTCCCCACTAACCTCCAACCCCAAGGACTTCCCCAATGCCACAATGGATTCCTCAACTGGCATAGGCTTCTCAGCGTTAGCCTCAAATCCTTCAAAATCCCTTTTTGTCTACACATTCTGGCCACAGTTTTTTCCAAGCAGAGTTCAAGGTTCTCTTAGTCACTCCCTCCCAAGCCATACCTATAAGGTTTATTTATACAATTGAGGATATTAAAGTGATCCTTCCAAAACTCTTTTAGAGTCATTTGAGTTTCTCTGGTCACTACAAAGCACCTTTCAAACATAGCTTTTGTGTACAGTTTCTTTAAGTTTGAAATGACCTGCTGGTCCATGGGCTGCAGGAGAGGAGTGGTATTAGGAGGCAAAAACTTGACCTTAATGAAGCTCATGTCCCCAGAAAGTCGCTCTGCCAAGTCTGTAGGATGACCAGGGGCATTGTCTAATACCAGGAGGCACTTAAGGTCTAATTTCTTTTCAATTAGGTAATTTTTCACAGTGGGGGCAAATGCATGGTGTAACCAGTCATAGAAAAAGTCCCTAGTGACCCATGCCTTACTGTTTGCCCTCCACAGCACACACAAATTAGCCTTGAGGACATTGTTTTTCCTGAACACTCTGGGAGTTTCAGAGTGATACACCAATAAAGGCTTCACTTTGCAATCACCACTAGCATTGGCACACATCAACAGAGTAAGCCTGTCTTTCATAGGCTTATGTTCTGGGAGTGCCTTTTCCTCCTGAGTAATGTAGGTCCTGCTTGGCATTTTCTTCCAAAACAGGCCTGTTTCGTCGCAATTAAACACTTGTTCAGGTTTCAAGTCTTCACTGTCTATGTAATCATTGAATTCCTTCACATATTTTTCAGCTGCTTTTTGGTCTGAACTGGCAGCCTCACCATGCCTAATCGCACTATGTATGCCACTACGGTTCTTAAATCTTTCAAACCAACCTTTGCTGGCCTTAAATTCACTCACATCAGCACTAGTTGCAGGCAATTTCTTTACCAAATCGTCATGCAACTGCCTAGCCTTTTCACAAATGATCGCTTGAGAGATGCTATCTGTTTTTCATTTATCCACACCAATAACAGTCTCTCAACATTTTCTAACACTTGCGGTCGCTGTTTCATAATCACAGTTGCACCTTTTGCAAGAACAGTTTTCTTGATTGCCATTTTCCTGGTCACTATAGTAGAGATGGTTGATTGGGGTTTATTATACAACCTGACCAGCTCCGACACGCACTCTACTTTCGTACTTTGCAATTATCTCTTTCTTCATTTCAATAGTCATTAGCACCTTTTTTCTCGAAGGGTTGGCACTAGAAGCTTTCTTGGGGCCCATGGTGACTTATTTTGCAGAAACAAGCACCAAAAACAGTGATAATGTGGAATGTACCAAATGTATCCTTAGATGTGCGCACACTGGCTGGCTTGTAAACACTGGCACACACGGGGCAGTTCAGGCCACACGTGGACACGTCTCATACGAATCGTATCGGATACTGGGTTTTCGATCTGATACCGAGGCAAAATTTTTGCGATATAATGCATCAAATACCGGATTTATCAAATACCGATGCCATCGAATACCGGGGGTCCACTATACGTATTAACGTAATATACGACATTTAATGAGACTCGATTATTATCATTACTAATATGGTGTCTCAAGACATAAGACACACTTACTGATTTTAATGTGTACCTGCATGCCAGCACAGTGTGTAAGTTTATTTAGGTACAGGTATACATAAGTATAATTATCAGAATATATATAAAATATGAAATAACTTTTAAAAACACTTGAAATTTTGGAGTTTCCAGACATAATGGGGGTGGGGCACAGTGACCATATTAGCAAATCAGGTGCGAGGAGCCGTATAAAGTGTTTTGGTTATAATTTGATATGACCGTATTAGCGGAATGTCGTAAAGCGAAACGCCATAAAGCGGGGCCCTACTGTACAAAGACATTAAAGAGATACATAGAATAAAAAGAATTCTAAGGAATATAACAAACATGAGAGTAGATTAAGTGTAGGATGGTACATGACAGTAAGAAAAATGAGTAGTTAAATTTCAGTGAAATAAAATTCTTTCTCAGATACAATTTTTTATTACATTAGGTAGTATTTAATACAATAATCATTATCTCTAGTTAATGATTATTTTAAACAAAAGCTCATTGCAGTCAGTATACTGAAGCAGTAGTGCTCATATAGAGAAACCAATATAAAATGGTAAAGGATATTTACAAATTAAGATGGGATAAATGGTATGACCACAGTATTAAGGCATACAGTTCTTCATTTAGCCTAGTTTTGAATTGAATGTTGCAATCCTTCAGCTAATCAGTTAGGTTCTTCAACATCTTTGGTAGGTTTAGTGATTGATGGTAGCAGGAGGTTGACTGCATACTGTCTTAAGAAATTTGACACTTGTGGGTTATTTAGCAGCAGAAGTTTATGTTGAAGTCACCAGCATTTATCAGGTGATTTTTATTAGGATTGTTGTTTATAATGTTTCTTAGATTGTTGCAAGGAAGATGTATAACCATTATCAGTCTCCAAGAGGACATGGGTCCTCTAAGGGGACCCAGTGGATTCTCACTTCTACCCTTCCAGTTGATTTTGGGGGAGTCACATGGTACAGTAGAAAACCCTTAGCTAGTATTTTTATAAGCATGGTAAATAACGTCTTGGGAAGTCTTGCCTATTAATGTAATTCAAACTAATTTTCTGGTGGTAAAAGCAGGTCTGAAGTACAAAAATTATACAGTTCACAAAAAGTGCATTGGGGGTCTAATTTCTGCATTGACATTATTTTTCAGCGAACAAGGCAGTCGATGTTCTTCTAGACTCGCCATGGGCTACCGGCAAAGACATTCTATTTACTGATCGCCAGTCTGTTGTGGACTATTGCAACAAGTAAATCTTTGTCCATAAGTATTTATTATTGTTGTGTTAAAATGTTCAGTAAGTACTGTCCTTAACATTAAAACTTTTTACCAGACTAATATTACACATTTTTAATTGCACAGTATCGCACCTTGTAATGAGGGCATACTGTAGCAACCCAAGACTGATGAAAACTATGATATTATGGGCAGAGCTGTATATCCCTTGTGGTTTAGCACTTCTTTTTGATTTTAATAATAATAATAATAATAATAATAATAATAATAATATGATGTTATGTTCAGAAATATTGAAGAGCAGCTTTACTAAAATTCTAAAAAATATTAAAATGTTAATGTTGCAAACTAATGCCTATAATCTTGTGTGACTGTTCACTGTGGGAATTCAATCATGTACACTTTTCAGTAAGTATTTCAGTTATTTGTATATGTAATGGAACACTGAAACATTTGTACTGAGAAATAGAATAATGTAAGAAGGTTGAGTATTGCTGTAACATGTATAGTAGACAACAAAGAATTTTTTATGTATGAAAGCATTAAAAGATAATTGTATATGCATTTTAGTGGGAGATGTCCAGTATGTTTAAAAAGTAAAAATCTTTACTTTTACTTTTAATATTAGCCATCTTCCATAAAGATAGGGTGACCTGAAAAAAAACTTTCACTATTTCCTCATTCACTGTCAGGCTAAAGTATGCTGGCAACAGTTCAGATGCCCCTCCAAACTGCAGCACCACCTCTGCACAATGCAGGCACTGTACTTCCCATCTCCAAGACTCAAGTCTAGCTAACCATTTTTCCTGAATCCCTTCATAGATTTTTACTTTGTGCTCCAACACACTTCATCATAAAAAACACTTGCCTCCACTCGTAACATGCTCTCAAAAGCCTGTTGGAAGTTCAAGCCTTTGCCATTCAAAATCTTTACCTCTTCCTTCCAACTTTTCCTGGGACAACCCTATACACCTTCTTTCACCTAGTTATCCTATTTTGCTCCAGCCTCTAAATGTTCATCCCACTTCAACAACCCCTCCTCAGCCCTCTGAATAATACTTTTGGTAACCTACCACCTTCTAATCTCCAAGCTCTGAATTTTCTGAATAGTATTCACACCACACATTGCCCTCCAACTCAATATCTCCACTGCCTCCAGCCTTCTCCTAGCTACAATATTTAAATTCATACACCCATTCAACAGTGTTGATACATCTATACTCTGATACATACCCCTTTTTGCCTCCATGGATAAAATTTTGTCTCCACTCATACCTCAATGCACTGTTGAATACATTTAATTTTTTACATTAAGGTATCCCTTAGAACACTGAATGTGTTATGAGCAAGTTTGATGTATGGTCACAGGCATTCAGTGGTATTACTGTAACAATTTTAAGACAGTTTTATTTGGTCCTTGACATTACAGTAGTCTTTATGATCAGTCTATATGCTAAACAAATAACAGTTTTTACTTTTAGACATTGCTATCCTGTGTGGCAAAGGCAAAACATGGGGGTGGGGGGAGTCCAGTGTCACCAAATTACTAGTTTATACATAATCAGTATGTATGCATATAACCATTCTTCCAGCAGTAATGCCATTTTCCTGCTTATTTGCAACAAAATCTAAGTTTTTGAAAGGCCAGGATGTGCAAGCATCATAATTTTACCACTAAATGAGAATGATTGACTGTTCCTAAATAAGTGTAGTCATAATTATATTCTATTTGGCTTGGTAATAATATAATAATGTCTCCTTTAAGAGGAAATGTTGTCTTCTAGGCTGCTGAAGCACAAATTCTTTCATCGTGCTAAGAAAATTCCCATCACTGACAAGGATCTTAAACCCAAAGATTTAAAGAAGAAAAAAGAAAAGGAAAAGGAAGAGAAGAAGAAAAAAGAATCGGAAAAAAAGAAAGACAAGGAAGAGAAAAAGCCCAAGGAAGAGGAGAAAAAAGAAAATGAAGAGGAGGGAGAAGAGGATTGTAAGCAGGAAGTCTCAAGTGCAGATAAGGATGAGAAAGATGTAAAGGACAAAGATGATGAAAAAGAAAAAAAGAAGAAGAAAAAATCCAAGATAAAGCTGGATATGCATTTGGAACAAGTTAGTATAGCAGCACTAAGTAGAAGTTTAAAAATAGTTTGAAATGACAGAGGTTGCAGATGTGTCATTGAGTAGGGACAAGAGGACTGCTCTAAAATGAAAGTGATGAGTAGGCAACAGGCATCACGAAAAGAGGAAGTGGAAAACTACATGTAGGATAGACATACAGTACTAATGCATTGTAGGTAAATAAAAACTTATTTTTCAGGTTTTTGTTGATGGGAGTGATGCATATGTTTGGATGTACGACCCTATCCCGTTCTGGTATTATATCGCAGGCAGCTTCTGTTTATTTGGCGCTATTGCAGTGTGTCTCTTCCCTCTTTGGCCGCCAAGTGTTCGGTAAGATTTTTTGTAATTTTTTCTCTTGCAAAAAGAGTGCTCTATGTAATGTAGTTAATATAGAGTTCTAAACATGTAAGGAAATAATGATCAGCAAATTTAAAGATACTGGTAGCCATAGACACATGGATGGAAGGAATTTGGAAAGACATGTAGGGAAGCCTTTCACATAGTTACTGTGCTATATACCTACACATTATTATATTCACTAACAAATCCCTAAACTCAGGAGGTCATACAGTTCCTGGGAGAAATGGAGGTAATCAGGTTCAGTTCAAGGAATGGGGGAGGTCAGGTCCATTTCCTTGGAATACATCAACACAGCAGTGCTTTATACATTCTATGCAGGACTGTACTGTACATCTGTGCAGGACAGTTCTGTACATCTGCACAGGCCTGTTTTGTACATTCACACAGGACTGTTTTGTGCCTCTGCACATGACTGTTTTGTACCTCTGCACAGGACTGTTTTGTACATCTGCGCAGGACTGTTTTGTACATCTGCGCAGGACTGTTTTGTACATCTGCACAGGACTATTTTGTACATCTGTGCAGGACTGTTTTGTACATCTGCGCAGGACTGTTCAGCACATCTGCACAGGGCTATACAGATTTGCAGTACAATACTGCTTGGGTTACCAGGCTGGTTTGATTTGCAGTACAGTATTAACCCTTAAACTGTTCAAACGTAGATCTACGTTCATGTGCGTAGTGCTCCGACCTTGATTTTTCTCTATTTGAAAGCATGTAAAAAAAACGTAGATCTACGTTCGGAGCCCCCCGCACGTGGACATAGATCTGCGTTTGGACAGTTTAAGGGTTAAATATACGTATATAGAAAGCCAAATGCACTTTGCAATAATTAGGCAAGTTTAACTGCATTATTTTTAAGCATTTAATTGTAACATAAATACCCAATGCAATTTATATATATTTTCACTTTTTAGGAAAGGTGTATATTACTTGAGTGTGGCAGCAGCTGGTTTCTTAGGTGTGATTTTGGGCCTGGCTGTGTTGCGGTTCATCGTATTCATCATTATCTGGGTGTTGACAATGGGAATACATCATTTGTGGCTTTTGCCTAATCTTACTGAAGATGTTGGATTCTTTGCCTCCTTCTGGCCTCTATATCATGTAAGTTTTTAATGCAATTTCAGCATCATATTTATGTACAGTACATGCAATTTGTATGTCATCCTTTGAATACTATTTTGTGATATCTATTATGTGAGTAGTAGTATTTGAGTAGCATTACTTTGGAGATATGCTAAGGGGAACTTCAACAGCAAAAAAATGTGCCCAATATTCCAATACTACTCCCATAGTTTAGTACTTTAATTTATTTTTATAAACTGTATGTTAAAGCACAGTAGATGGCACATTAGTTCTCAAAACATCAGTTCACATGTCACATAAAATAATAAATTACACACTCATCACCTATGCACTTAGCACTTTTTGCAACCTTGCATTTACAGTACGAGTACCGAGGAGCTGGATATGAAAAGAAAAAAAAGAAGAAAAAGATTAAAGATGAAGATGAAAAGGAACGAGAGGGGCAAGATAAGAAATCCGATATGGATGATACACTCGACAGTCCAGACACAGCAGCGGAAACTGATAAACATGAAACTGATATTGATAGGTGAGTATTGTACATATTACAGCACCCTCTTTACATCACCTTTATACGTGCCTTACACCTGTGCACCTCAGTCTCTCCATATTTTCTTTCAAGAATGTGGGTTTAGAGCTTTCTATATATTAAATTTTCCTGATTATTATTATAATCAACAGTAAGCACTAAACCCACAAGTCATACAGAAATAGGAGATTAATTTCCTGTTTTCCAGTGCACCCTTCAAAGGGAGGTGCCTTGATGCTGAAGGGTTTTTGATTCGGAAGATTGGAGCGATCCTCCACTTCATTGGATCAAACCTGATTGCCTTATTTCCGAGGCACTATATGACCCCTACAGGTTTAGAGCTTCACTTATATATTTTTTTTTCAACACGTCGGCCATCTCCTACCGAGGCAGGGTGACCCAAAAAGAAAGAAAATACTTTCATCATCATTCAACACTTTCACCATAATAGCTGTCTTTGCAGAGGAGCTCAGATACGACAGTTTAATATATGTTTTCCACAGCATTAACCCCGTTAACTGTCCAAACGTAGGTCTATGTTCTCCCGCCTATTGCTCTGAATAATTTTTTTTTTTTTTTAAATAAAGAGAACACTTTTTACATAATCTCTGTAAGTACAGAGATATAAGGGCGCAAAGTTTGTTGCTCACCTGACGGCAACAGGAAGCACTGCCGCTTGCAGAAGTGTTGCTGATACACCTTTTTTCTTTTTCTTTTTTTTTATATAATTTTTATATTCTGATAATTATAATTTGTAGTAGTTTTTGTGATTTCAAAGCCAGTCTTTGTTCTGACACTAATATTAGTCACAAACACAGTGACAGGTGAACATTTTCACCTACCTTAGTCACATAATATTGTCTAGAAATATGTACATAGTGTTTATAGGTCCCAATAATGTTTTGGACATGTGGGAGTTTATAATAATAAGTTTCTTTGAAGCATGGTGTAAGACGAGTGTCACTTCACTGCTGACAGTGCAGTAACATTTGATGAATGTGCACTGCCTTGGCTTTATTTGTTTTCACTGTTACACATAAACATGTCTGTCTGTCCATCTGTCTACCTCTACAGTGGACCCCCGCCTTACGATATTAATCCATTCCTGAGAGCTCATCGTAAGCCGAAATTATCGTAAGGCAAATTAATTTTCCCCATAAGAAATAATGGAAATCAAATTAATCCATGCAAGACACCCCAAAGTATGAAAAAAAAAAAATTTTTACCACATGAAATATTAATTTTAATACACACAAACTGAAGAAGGCATGCACAATTACTACTATACTAAGAATATAATACATGACACTTGCCTTTATTGAAGATCTGGTGATGATTGATGGGATGGAAGGGAGAGAGTGTGGAAGTTGTTATGGTTTAGAAGGAGAATCCCCTTCCATTAGGACTTGCAGTAGCAAGTCCTTTTCTGGGGTTACTTCCCTTCTTCTTTTACTGCCACTAGGACCAGCTTGAGTCACTGGACCTCTGTCACACAACAAATCTGTCCATAGAGCTCTGTACCTCCCGTTCCTTTTAAGACTTTCTTAAAATGGGCCATAACATTGTCATTGTACAGTTTGCCAACACGGCTTGCAGTAGCTGTGTCAGGGTGATTTTCATCTGCAAAGGTTTGCAGTTCAGCCCACTTTGCACACATTTCCTTAATCTTTGAAGTAGGCAACTTCCTCAATTTCTCTCTCCCCTCCTCTGAAGCAGTTTCCTCAGGTCTGGCCTCTTGCTGTTGAAGGTGATCTTGCAGCTCATCAGTGGTTAGTTCTTCATTGTCCTCCTCCACATACTCCCCACTAACCTCCAACCCCAAGAACTTCCCCAATGCCACAATGGATTCCACAACTGGCATATGCTTCTCAGGGTTAGCCTCAAACCCTTCAAAATCCCTTTCTTCTACACATTGTGGCCACAATTTCTTCCAAGCAGAATTCAAGGTCCTCTTAGTCACTCCCTCCCAAGCCTTATCTATAAGGTTTACACAACTGAGGATACTAAAGTGATCTTTCCAAAACTCTCTTAGAGTCAATCGAGTGTCTGAGGTCACTTCAAAGCACTTTTGAAACATAGTTTCTGTGTAGTTTTTTGAAGTTTGAAATGACCTGCTGGTCCATGGGCTGCAGGAGAGGAGTGGTATTAGGAGGCAAAAACTTGACCTTAATGAAGCTCATGTCCCCAGAAAGTCGCTCTGCCAAGTCTGAAGGATGACCAGGAGCATTGTCTAATACCAGGAGGCACTTAAGGTCCAATTTCTTTTCCATTAGGTAATTTTTCACATTGGAGGCAAATGCATGGTGTAACCAGTCATAGAAAAAGTCCCTAGTGACCCATGACGCTGTATAGCCCTTGTGGCTTAGCGCTTCTTTTTGATTATAATAATAATAAGTGACCCATGCCTTACTGTTTGCCCTCCACATCAAATTAACCTTGAGGACATTGTTTTGCCTGAACGCTCTGGGAGTTTGAGTGATACACCAGTAAAGGCTTCACTTTGCAATCACCACTAGCATTAGCACACATCAGAAGAGTAAGTCTGTCTTTCATAGGCTTATGTCTTGGGAGTACCTTTTCCTCCTGAGTAATGTAGGTCCTGCTTGGGAATTTCTTCCAAAACAGGCCTGTTTTGTTGCAATTAAACACTTGTTCAGGTTTCAATTCTTCGCTGTCTATGTACTCCTTGAATTCCTTCACATATTTTTCAGCCGCTTTTTGGTCCGAACTGGCAGCCTCGCCATGCTTTATCACACACTGTATGCCACTACGATTCTTAAATCTCTCAAACCAACCTTTGCTGGCCTTAAATTCAATAACATCACCACTAGTTGCAGGCATTTTTTTTAATTAAATCGTCATGCAACTTCCTAGCCTTTTCACATATGATCGCTTGAGAGATGCTATCTCCTACTATCTGTTTTTCGTTTATCCACACCAATAACAGTCTCTCAACATTTTCTATCACTTGCGATCTCTGTTTCGAAAACAAACTTGCACCTTTTGCAAGAACAGCTTCCTTGATCGCCGTTTTGTTGGCCAAGATAGTAGTGATGGTTGATTGGGGTTTGGTATACAACCTGGCCAGCTCCGAGACATGCACTCCACTTTCGTACGTACTTAGTAATTATCTCTTTCTTCATTTCCATAGTAATTTTCACCATTTTTACCATAGGGTTGGCACTAGAAGCTTTCTTGGGGCCCATGGTGACTTATTTTGCAGCTACAAGCACTAAAAACAGTGATAATGTGAAATGTACCGAATGTATGCTTAGGTGCGACTGCACTGGCTGGCTTGTAAACACTGGCACCCACGGGGCAGCTGAGGCCACGCGTGGGACGCGTCCCAGACAAATCACGTAAGGCGAGTTTTTTATTGTGAGGCGAGGCAAAATTTTTGTGTTCAAATGCTTCGTATGGCAGATTTAACGTAAGGCGGGGGTCCACTGTATTTGTCTCTGCTTATCTGTCTTTGTCTCTGCTTGTCTCTCTCTCTGTCTCGGAGAGAGAGAGCGATTCATGAACCAACAGGTATTACACACAATGCAGAGTAGTCACGTCTGATTCCTGAACAAGTGAAAATGTGTATTACTTGCCAGACATGCTTATTATGCATTATATCTTCATGCACAGTATAGCACTCTGGATTTTTTTTGGTTATCCTAGGTAATTTACACTATGCATAATTGTATTTGTGTGGACCTGTGAGATAGAGACAGAGTAAGAGAGAGACAGAGACAGATAGAGCCAGCTAGTCAGCCTGCCGAACACATATTACACGTTCCAGAATTTTCTTTGTACTTAGGGCATAGGTTATAGGACATTTTGGCAGGATGACACTACCAGTGGTACCAAAATTGAAAGGGTGTTGCACAAGGGTTATTATCAAGGTTTTTGATATTTCTTCGAACACTTGTGACCACATTGACCTGAAAGTCACTAAACTCAGGGTCAACATCACTTTCCTCTTAAAAGATGAGTGTTAATACGACATGACATCAGTGAATCCCTGGTGTTTGCCATGCTATTTGCTCTAGCTGGTGCTCAACTGAACTGGTGCTCCCACAAGTTACGAAGTGGTCCCAGATTTCTTTAATACTGCACATATCAAGTGTTGAGACCCATTCTATGCTGACCAGGCATCTCAGGCCAGTTGTGCTAAATTTGGAGACAGGAAATATAAAACTTAGATCTACATTTGGAGGGCTAGCTGTAAGACCGTAGATCTACATTGGACAGTTAAGGGGTTAATACACATTCTCATAGATTGGTATTGAATTTTGTGGCTTATAGATGTGAAAGGGAGGGCTACCTGGGTACAGACAAGTAGAAAAATGAAAAGTGAAACTTAATGACTGAAAGGCAGTGTATGTGTTTGTTTCAAGAATGGATTAGGTTAAGAATGATTCAGACTAGAAAAATAGTATAGTACAGGGTATTGAGGCTGGCCATGGAAAAAATGGGAATATACTGATTGAGTATTTGTGTAGTATCTGCTGCCCCATATTATTATTATAATCAAAAAAGAAGCGCTAAGCCACAAGGGCTATACAGCTGCTGCCCCATAAATCTAGACCCATAAGGATAAAAATACAAATTTATACTTCACTTTTATTTATTACTTAAATTGAATGTCATTATCCATCAACATGTTAATTCTTGTTCGTAGTAATTATTTTTTCTTATGATGGAAACTCGAGTAAGAGTTTCTGATTAGAGGGTAAATATTTACCATCTAATTATAATTAAGGGGTTTAGCACTCCCCCATCATTATAATAATAATCATAATAAGGGAGGGTTGCAGTCTCTCTCAGTACGAGACAAACTTTTATACTGTTAACCACCATTCATGTTTAATTGTGTCGATGAAGGTTGAAGTGTTCTCGCAGTGTTGACTCATTATTTCACTTGAGGAGCTTCTCTGTTGTAGGTTTGCCTTGTTTCTTCTGAGGTGGTACAGATAAAGAATCATCTTTGTTCTTTCTAGGGTTGCTGAGGAACAGACTGCTGCAAGTGAAACAGAGTCAGAAAATTCAAACTCTCAGGCATTTGAGATGGTTGAAAAAGATGATGTTGATGCAGCAGAGATGGGAGAGGTGATGCCTGAAAAGGGAAGCGGTGTTCAAGATTTACAGAAAGAAGTTTCAAAAGAAGGTATAGAGGATGGAAAAACTACAGAATCTTAGGAAACATTACCAGTACTTAAAATTTTTAACCAGTGAACTAGATGGTTCATCTTGGTTTGACACTAAAGTAGAAATCTCATGTTTTAGTATGCAGTTTAAAGGTTTCATAATTTTTGAGGTTTATGACCAGAAAGATTAATTTTTTTTTTTGAATTGGTGAATTTAGTTTTCAGACAAAATTTAATTTTTTTCATACATGAAGTACTTGGTGGTCACTGATGGTTGTATTAGCAGTGTATGATCATTTTATCAAAGTCAGAACCATTACTTAAGATTCATACATCACTTCTAAATATGGCCCAAGTAATATCAGCACAAAGAAAAGTTACTCCCCATCACTTCATTAAAACGTTTAAGCCTGCATATGACTGTTTTGTTTGTTTTACATTATGCAATGTAGCTTGGATGCTTTCTCCATATATAAGGTCAGTGATAGAAATATGAATTTTAATTATTCATCTTGCTGTCATTTACACTATAGAGCACTCTGGGTTCTATGGCAGAATTGTGCACAAATGTTGAAATGAATGGTTTAGTTTGAAATAAGTTAACATATTGAACTATTACAGGTATTTATTTTATGTATAAGTAAAATATTCCATTCCTTTTATTACCAAAAATTGCATTCTTATGTTAATGTACAGTATAGTGAAATTATAGGAGTATGACAACAACATTATTTGTTAAGCAACACTAACTCCCTAGATTGAAATAGAACTAAAATATTTTTTATTTATTGGCAGTGGGAGGGGTGGGGGAGGTTTAACAGGTCAACAACCATTTTCTGTTGCAGATGCTGAATTTCATGAAAGGGATCCGTTGGCAACATTAAATTTTGTACCAGTATGTATGAAGGGTATTATTTTGTAATTATTAAAATGCAATATTCCAGTTTTTTTTTTTATTTATACATCTGCTTTAATAGATAGGGTATAATGCAAAACCAAAGATGTAAACCTAAAAAGCTATTTCAGATACTACATTTGTGAATGCCTTAACCTGTGGGGAAGGGGGTCATTCACTGCAAGCAGTTTCAGAATGTGTGCTTAATACAAAATTTATATGAAATCCCTAATAACTGCTGACAAATTTTGAAAACAATGTAGTTGGTTGAGGGTTATTTTTATGTGCCCCATAATATGCATAGAACTAAAGGTTTGGAGGTGTGATACATCTGGCACGGATTAAAATCATAACTAAAGGGATCGCTATACATAATATACTAAGTGAATTATTATTGGGTGACCATGAAAAAGGTTATTGATATTGAAGATTTTAATAAGTAAGTTTGGCAGCTTATAAGGATTAAACTGAATAGGAGTCTAATAGTTTTATAGTGACAAATAAGAGAGAATACCGTCACCATTAGACCTATTATTTACTAGAACATAAGCAGAAATTTTCAACTAATCAGTTTCTGGGAAAAAAAAATGCAACACAAAATAGTTAATCAAAGGTGTTGGACAGCTATGAAAAAGAAAGGTCTGAATCAATATAAGAAATGGGGATCACAAGACTAACAAAATTCAAACAGGCCATAAATATACAAAAAAGACAATCTTCAGTACAGAAATGATTGATAAGAGCACAGAACCAAATCTTGTATTAACTTGTGAAAACAAAATTAACTCTTTCACTGTCCACACTCCCAAAATTAATACTGTTCCCAGTGTCCAGTTTAATTTGTTTTTTTTAATTACAAAATTTGATGGGATATTTATGAAATTACACAGGTGCAATTTATACCTGGAGGTTGTTTCAGGGGTCAACACCCCTGCGGCCTGGTCTGTGACCAGGCCTCATGATGGATTAGTGCCTGATCAACCAGGCTGTTACCGTTAGCCACACACAACCCGACTTACGAACCACAGCCCGGCTGGTCAGGTACTGATGTTATGTGCCCGTCTAGTGCCTTCTTGAAGACAGTCGGGGGGTCTATTGGTAATCTCCCTTATGTATGCTGGGAGGCAGTTGAACAGTCTTGGGGTCCCTGACACTTATTGTGCTAGTGGCACCCCTGCTTTTCATTGTGGGGATGTTGCATCGTCTGCCGAATCTTTTGCTTTCACAGGGAATGATTTTTGTGTGAAAGTTTGGAAAATCCTAGAGGGATTAATACCAGTGTATATAATCACGTATCTCTCCCACTTGCATTCTAGGGAGTACAGGTTGAGGAATTTCAAGCATTCCCAGTAATTGAGGTGTTTATCACAGTTGTGTGTGCCATGAAAGTTCTGCATAGACGATTTTACCGCATGTGTTGGCCAAGGGAAGGTGACCCGAAAAAGAAACACTTTCACCATCGTTAACACTATTGCTGTCTTGCCAGAGGCATGTAGATACTACAGTTTAGCTGTCAGTATAAACAGTAAATATCCCAAACCCCTCCTTTAGAGTGCAGGCATTGTACTTCCCACCTCCAGGAATCAAATCTGGCTGACTGGTTTCACCGAATCTCTTCACAAAATATTACCCTGCTCACACTCCAACAGCTTGTGCAGTACCAAAAACCATTCGTCTCCACTCCTACCACACACACACACACACACACACACACACACACACACACACACACACACACACACACACAGCACACGCCTGCTGTATGTCCAAGCCCCTTGCACACAAAACCCATCCTTTCCTGGGATGACCCCTAGTCCCTCCAAGTCATCCTATTTTGCTCCATCCACTCTAAATTACCCAACCCCCTCCTCATCCTTTGAATAATATTTTTTGTAACTCTGCAGCCCCTCTTAATTTCCACACTACAAATTCTCTGCATAATATTTACCCCACACATTACCCTTAGACATGATATCTCCACTGCCTCCAGCCTCCTCCTCGCTGCAACATTCACAACCCATGCTTCACACCCATATATACATGTGTTGGTACCACTATGCTCTCATACAGTCCCTTCTTTGCCTCCATGGATAAGTTTTTTTTTTTTGTTGCCTCCATAGATACCTCAATGCACCCTCCACCTTTCTTTCCTTTAGCAATTCTATAGTTTACCCCGTCCTTCATATACCCATTCATCAACACGTCCACTCCCAAATATCTAAACACATTCACTTCTTCCATACTCCCTCCAGTCTGATAGTTATTCCTTTCCTGACTCATTTGATACCCTCATCACTTTAAACTTCTTTCCCTCGCACACCCTCCCAAACTCATCCACCAACCTTTGCAACTTCTCTTCAAAATCTCCCAGTATCATCAGCTAAAAGTAACTCAGTTCCCATTTTGTATCTAATTCCACATAATTTAATCCCTCTCCCCAACACCCTAGCATTTATTTCTTTTACAACCCCTTCTATAAATATATTAAACAACCATGGTGACATCTCAAATCCCAGTTTAAGGCCTACTTTTACTGGAAAATAATCTCCCTCTCTCCCACGCATCCTAACCTGAGCCTCACTATCCTCATAAAAACTCTTTACAGCATTTAGTAACTGTATTCCATACACTTGCAACATCTGCCATCTTGCTCTATCCAATCTATCATATATGTTTTAAGTAAATTCCATTGCTCCATTTGACCAGATTTTTAGCTATTTCACTAGTATGCATTCTGTTCTAATTACTAAACACAATAAACTGCCAATCCAACTATCACAACTACCCTATAAAGTGCACAAAAGTCTGTAATTTGACCAATTTTACACAAATTTAAAAAAAATACCAATTTAAAAATAGAGTGCAACAAACAATATAGACATTCCTGGCACTAGAACATTTCCTCTATTCATTTATCACATCCCCAGGCCTCTCCTCTATTACACTTTCCTTCCATTTTGCATTCATAATCACACAAAACCAGAAGATTTACTCTATTTCATGTCTAATGATTGGTCATGGTTTATGGTATTACAACCGAATCAGACCTATTAAAAAAAGTATAACAGACTGGGGAGTGTAGGGGGGGGGGGGCTTACTTATCCTCAGGAAGCTTGACAAAAACCAAGTATCTCTACTTAAAGAGTCCAATTTGAAGCTACTGCTGGTCCTGAAAGCCACTAAAATTCTCTATTTCAGTAGTATATCTTCCGGTCTTATAAATGGTACCAAGAAACAGAGAATAAAACAATAAAAACCATTCTAGAAAATGCCTCAAAGTTGTTATTTTAACCCTTTCAGAGTCCAGAGGCCAAATTTCAAAGTGCACACCAGTGTCCAAGAATTTTCAAAAAATAATTTTATTTTTCTTCTGAAATGGTAGGGAATCTTTTCCTGAAGGTAATAAAACAAAAAGTACAAAATTTGATGGAAAATTGATGAAATTATGCTCTTGTGAATTTTGATGTGTCAGCAATATTTACACATTGGCGATTTTGCCGACTGACTCCCATTTTAGGCCAATTACCTTATTCCAGTCGACCAAATTCTTAGCTATTTCACTAGTATTACTTCTATTCTATCGATTGAGCACAAGAAATCGCCAATTTAGTGCAAAGTTCAAAATATTCAAATTTCAAAACAGGGTCCAGAATAAATAATGCAGGCATCCCTGGCACTAAACTAACATTTCCTCTGTTCATTAGTTATGTTTATAGGCTTTACAAATGAATTCCATTTTGATTTTTAATTCACATAATGAATTTTTATTCAAACCAAAAAATAGATTTACTGTCATGCAATACTGTAATAATTGTATAAATAATATCAGCACATTTGTGACCGTATATTAGACCCACCAGCTGGTGTGTATTAGACGTGTGAGGTCATTTGTTTACTCTTGAACATCAGCAAAAATTTAACATTTCCGCTACTTTGAGCTCAGCTTCAAGCCATTTTCAGTACTAAAACCAATCAAAATCATCTCTATTTCTGTAATATATCTTCCATTCTATCAAATGAGACCAAGAAATCACATACGAAAAAACACTGCAAAGTTGCTGTTTAATCAAAAATTACGGTCTTAGTTTTTTTTCTCTTGTTACGCACTGTGTGCTGCAGGATTTGTTTTATGCAGTGCACACATACCACATAGATGTATTCTCTCATATCTAGACCCAACTTTACCGCTCACACCTATCAGAGTGAGCTGAGCTCATGGCGTAGATCTACGGTTTGGACTCTCAACGTAAAGCCGTAGATCTACGGCACGGACCCTGAAAGGGTTAAACAAAACACATGGTCAGGGTTTTGCTTTTATCATCATGCAATGCATGGGGCAGGATTATTTCTTATATTGTACAGTAGGGCCCCGCTTTCCGCTAATACGGTCATTTCAAATTATGACCAAAACTCGATATACGGCTCCCCCCACCTGACTTTCTAATACGGTCACCGCGCCCCACCCTGTTTGTTTACATTCTCTGTGAGCTCAATAAGTACTAAGTCTCTCCATTTTATCTGGAAACTCCAAAATTTCAAGTGTTTTTAAAAGTTATTTCATATTTTATATATACTCTGATAATTATACTTATGTATACCTGTACCTAAATAAACTTACACACTGTGCTGGCATGCAGGTATTTATGATTATATTATTTATTTATCCAATTGCACAATACAGTACAAAAATACAATAAGAGCAGATGCATAACTAAGAGTGTCTTATGTCTCCAGACGTCATATTAGTAATGATAATAATAATCATCGAGTCTCATTTAAATGTCGTATATTACATTAATATACACATTTTCATTAATCCATCTATGATATTTTTTCAAAATTATATAATAAACACGATGCATAACATAAAAAAGATAAATACCCCCCACAGTAGAATAAATAAACATAAATGGAGATGTGGTAGCAGACGACTTGCACAAGTGACGTCATATTAGAAATGATAATAATAATAATCACCGAGTCTCATTAAATGTCGTATATTACGTTAATATACACATTTTCATTAATCCATCCATGAATTTTCTTCAAAATTATATAATAAACACGAATACATAACATAAAAAAGATGATAAATACACCCCACAATAGAATAAATAAACATAAATATGAGATGTGGTGCCAGATAACTTGTACAAGTGACGGCAGAATAACATTTTCTCTAATCAAACATAAGAGAAATGTGTTACTGGGGGTAAAATGTAGAAAAAATTTTTCCTTTCGTATGTATGTAAGTTTATTCAGGTATACACAAATTTCAGTTTTCATAGATTATCATACATAACATTATGTGTAGAGAACCTAGGATAACCCAAAAAAGTCAGAGTGACTTATTTCCATTGCCTTCACTCAGAGCATCATTTCTTCTCAAAATGATGCTACATGAGAATGGGAGTGTTCTTCTTTATTTATTTTACCGTATCAATGTAGAGACAACCTGTACACAATGTAACTTTTACACAAACCAGACGTGTACACTTTGTTTACAAAACTTACCTTCGCCTGGTTTGTTTACATAACTCTGCGCCTGTCCTCTCTCATGCACTCATTCTTTCTCTCTCTCATTTATTCGTTTTATCTCATTTACTTACTCCTGACCTTACATTAAGACTACAAATATTTTAAGGTAAGTAATGAGTGAACTGTATATACATTTTATCGCTCTGGGATGCTTAAATATCATATGTGTGGGTGGGGTGGCCTGGTATGGTAGCCTGGCTGACTACCATACATACCACACTTGATTTCTTACAATAAGTTTTTTGATGCCTGGTTCTATTGCTAACTTAATATATGTTAGTGTAAACTTGTTATCTAGTGTTTGTATGCATTTATAACAAAAATAAAAAGGGTGTTCCACTTTACGGCGGTAGCCTGGAACCTAACCTGCCGTATAAGTGGGGCCCTACTGTACTCTCTGCGCAAACCCATTCTCTCATATCTAGACCAAAGTTTACTACTCATAGTTACTTTAGTAAGCTAATGTTGCAGAACTACATGAAGGACCCTGGCCTCACTGACAGTTCTATGTGATGGCCAATGAAAGGGTTAAATATTTAAAGCAAAATACACAGTTTTCCAGACAAAAATAAATTAAATGAAATTGAGGAAATGTGTGATGTATTAAATATTAAGTGTAACAGATCTGAATCCCAGACAGCTGAAATAAAAGGATACTGAAATAACCAAAGAGAATGTAAAAAAAATTATATACTGTATAAACAAAAAAAAAAAAAAAATAATAGGACTGAACAGGACATCACCAGACTTTCAAAAGTATCCACTTCAGACAGTTTTCAGGATTTTGCTGCAAGAGCATAAATTGGCAAACAAATGGAAAATAGCACACATTACTGGGTATGCCAATATTTAAAGTAGAGATGGAAAATCCTTCAAACTAAAGGCTAGTTTTACTGAATAGTGCTGTAAAAATATTGGAAAATACTTATTTTTTACAACCAGAAATGAGTAACAATTTCATCCTTCATTACACAGTACCTGTATTGGTGTACTCCTATAAATCATATTAAATCTTTCTTGTTGGATACCTTATACATCTGCACATTCACCACGCTGCAGCTTACTGAAAACATCATGCAGCATTTTGTTGCAAAGAGCTGCATAAGGATTCATCTGAACAAGCTGTGAATGAAAACGCACAAGTTAAATTCATTCTGTGAAAACTAGCATGTAACAGTACATGTTAATACAGGTTGGCCATCACTAATCAGACATCATCGGGACCTGTAGGGTGCTGGATTAGTGATTTTGCCGGATTATAGAGTGGTTAGGTTAGAATATACTTAACCCAACGGCGATATTTATGCATCAGTGATTTCACACAATTTATGCCCTATTTTTGGCCCATTCCATTGTTCCAGTCTACCAAACTCATAGCTACTTCACTAGTATCCTTTATTCTGTTGATTGAGTACAAAAAACTGCCCATTCACCCATTTCAATTACCTAATAACATGGTCAGAAATTGATAATTTGGCCAATTTCACACAGACATCAAAAGATGCCAATTTCAAAATAGGGTCTAGAATAAACAATGCAGACATTCCTAGCACTAAAATAATGTTTTCTCTGTTCATTAGTCACATCTCCAGGCCCCTCTTATATTATGCTTGCTTGCCATTTTGAATTTTTATTCACACAAAAAATAGATTTACTGTTATGCAGAGTACTGTATTATTGTAATAACTGTATAAATAATGTCAACCCATTCTTGACTGTGTATTAGACCGACCAGTTGGACACGTATTGGACATTAGCAAAAATCAAACATTTACACTACTTTGAGCTCAGTTTTAAGGTACTTTCCGGTGTGAAACCAATCAAAATTATATCTATTTCTGTAATATATCTTCCATTTTATCAAATGAGACCAAAAAAATGAGAATACAACCATACGAACCATATGAAAATACACCGCAAAGTCGGGCTTACACCATAAGCTCGGTCACAGTTTTTTCTTATTATACACTGTGCTGCAGGATTTTTTTTTATATAGTACACACTTACCACAAAGACCTATTCTTTCATATGTAGGCCCAAATTTACCAGTCATAACTTATCTGAATGAGCTGAGCTCATGGCAACTGACAGTGGCTTCAAAACCACCTTATCTTCTATGGACAATGTACGGTGTATGTGCTTTACACAATGAGAATAATTTCTTTTGTTCATTGGAACCATGGCTAGGGCTAAAAATGAGCAGGTTATAACAATAAATGGAGAAAAAGAAATTGGAATGACTTGTGCAGCAAGTAGTGCCAGCAAACAGTGGCAGGTTGGTGTGGCAACCCTGCAAATTTGAAGTTATGCTAGCCGAAATTAGTGCCAGATTACTGATGGAACCAGATTACCGATTGCCAGATTAGTGATGGCCAACCTGTACTATATATTACTGTATTATGGAGGATGCACTAAACACTTAAGGTAATACAGTAACTGAGATATGGGAAGCAGTCAGGCTCGATCCAAGCAAGGGGAGGGCAAGTCCAGTCCCTTGAATTCATAGTCTCTTAGTGGCATCAAAAGAACCTGCCTTGAGGAAATATTCTAATAAAAATGTATATAATTGTGTTTATTATAGTGAAACTAGAAATTTAGTCTTACTTGTTAACTACCTTGTCAAAGGAGTTATAATACACACCTAGCATTTTTTTTTTTTTTTTTGCTGTATGACCCTTTTGGGTTTAGTGGTTAATTTGATTATTGTAAATATAATAAAACTGCATGAAGAATTCAAGAACTCAGGAATAAAAAAGGGAAATTACTTTAATGGTTATAATCATAACCATGATTTTTAAAGAGGTGGACCGGTAAGCCAGCGGAAGTCCTTGGTCAGATGACCAAAAGCTCCAGCTGTGGGTCATCATATGACTAAGACCCGCGTCAGGAAACACTTGCCCTGTATGCGACAAACATTATACAGTGGACCCCCAAGTTTCGTGAGCCCTGCACTTCGTGAATTTTGACTTTCAGCAACTTTTTTCGACAAAATATAACCTTGTGTTTCGTGATTTGCCTCATCATTTGTCGGTAGTATGGAACGCATCCATGTGCACACAAAGGCTCCCACACACACCATTCAGAGTTAGTGTGGCATCATTTCTCGGCAAGTGACCATCACCCCACGAGTTCATACGATAAATTTCGTAATAATCCATTGTTTTTGTGCTTGCAACTGCTAAATAAGCCACCATGGGCCAAAAGAAAGGTCCTAGTGCCAGCCCTTTGGTAAAGAAGGCAAGAAACACGATAGAATTCAAGAAAGAACACACCAGCCAGGGTACCTCCCCACACACTAGCCAGGGTACTTCTCCACACACATGATTTGATATGAGTGGGACTTGCGCAGGAGTGAATAGAATTATCAAAGCTTATTGCTTGGGAAGTGCTGAAAATTGGTTGGGCAAATATTCTGTTGGTGGGATGGTTTGTGAAGAATCTGCCTAGTATGGGCCAACAGGTCTGCTGCAGTGTTCCTGCTTTCTTATGTTCTTTTTTTTTTTTTTTTTCCAACAAGTCGGTCGTCTCCCACCGAGGCAGGGTGACCCAAAAAAAAAGAAAGAAAATCCCCAAAAAGAAAATACTTTCATCATCATTCAACACTTTCACCACACTCACACATTATCACTGCTTTTGCAGAGGTGCTCAGAATACAACAGTTTAGAAGCATATACGTATAGAGATACACAACATATCCCTCCAAACTGCCAATATCCCAAACCCCTCCTTTAAAGTGCAGGCATTGTACTTCCCATTTCCCAGGACTCAAGTCCGACTATATGAAAATAACCGGTTTCCCTGAATCCCTTCACTAAATATTACCCTGCTCACACTCCAACAGATCGTCAGGTCCCAAGTATCATTCGTCTCCATTCACTCCTATCTAACACGCTCATGCACGCTTGCTGGAAGTTTCCAAGCCCCTCACCCACAAAACCTCCTTTACCCCCTCTTTCCAACCCTTTCGAGGACGACCCCTACCCTCTTTCCTTCCCCTATAGATTTATATGCTTTCTATGTCATTCTACTTTGATCCATTCTCTCTAAATGACCAAACCACCTCAACAACCCTCTTCTGCCCTCTGACTAATGCTTTTATTAACTCCACACCTTCTCCTAATTTCCACACTCCGAATTTTCTGCATAATATTTACACCACACATTGCCCTTAGACAGGACATCTCCACTGCCTCCAACCGTCTCCTCGCTGCTGCATTTACCACCCAAGCTTCACATCCATATAAGAGTGTTGGTACTACTATACTTTCATACATTCCCTTCTTTGCCTCCATAGATAACATTTTTTGACTCCACATATACCTCAACGCACCACTCACCTTTTTTCCCTCATCAATTCTATGATTAACCTCATCCTTCATAAATCCATCCGCCGACACGTCAACTCCCAAGTATCTGAAAACATTCACTTCTTCCATACTCCTCCTCCCCAATTTGATATCCAATTTTTCTTTATCTAAATCATTTGATACCCTCATCACCTTATGTTCTTATGTACACCAAAAAGGGCACTTCCCCACACACCAGCCAGGGTACTTCCCCACACACATAAGAATGGAGGAACACTGCAGAAGGCCTACTGACCCATACAAGGCAGGTCCTTATCAAAATCACCCCTACCCTAAACTACCCAAGAATTTACTCCTGTACCCATGACACCAATCAAACCGAGCCCCTCCCACTCATATATTTGTCCAATCTCTTTTTAAAGCTGCCCAAGGTCCTTGCCTCAATCACCCTATTCGGAAGACCGTTCCACACATCCACAACTCTGTTTGAAAAACAGTACTTACCTATGTCCTTTCTGAATCTAAATTTATCTAACTTAAATCCATTATTTCTTGTTCTTACCTGGTTCGACACCCTCAGTACTTTATTAATATCACCTTTGTTTATCCCCATCATCCGCTTATACACCTCAATTATATCTCCCCTCATTCTATGTTTCTCTGGAGAGTGGAGATTCAAGGCTCTATCTTCATACGGGAGATTCCTTATACAGTAAATCATTTTAGTCATTCTTCTCTGTATGTTCTCCAATGAGTCTATATCCATCCTGTAGTAAGGAGGCCAAAACTGAGTGGCATAATCTAAATGAGGCCTCACTAGTGATGTATAGAGCTGTAAAATAACTTTTGGACTTCTGTTACTTATACTTCTTGAAATAAATCCTAAGTGTTGAGCACACTTAGGCACTGCTGTCTTGGCTTTAGATTTCTGCTTACCATGACTCCCAAGTCTTTTTCACATTCTGTATGATCAAGCTCTACTTCACCTAGTTTATAGCTTCGAGGGTTATTTTCATTACTGAGGACTAGTACCTTACACTTATCCACATTGAACTTCATCTGTCATTTTTCAGACCAAGACATTAATTTGTCCAAATCCTCCTGGAGTTCATTGGTATCCTCCTCAGTATGACTCATACAGCCTATTTTTGTATCATCAGCAAATCTGCTCCTTGTAATTCCTTCATCAAGGTCATTAATGTAAATTATGAACAACAGAGGGCCTAAAACTGATCCCTGTGGAATGCCACTAGTGACAAATCCCCATTCAGATTTGACCCCCATTAATGGAAACTCTGGTAAGCCATGCTTCTATCCTTGCTAGAACTTTACCTCCTATACCATGAGCTGCCACTTTTCTTAAGAGTCTCTTGTGAGGTACTCTATCGAAGGCTTTACTAAAATCCAAATAAACATTATCATATTCTTTATCACTGTCTACTCCCTCAAATGTTCTACTGAAGAACGTCAGTAAATTTGTCAGGCGGAAATGACCTCTTGTGAACCCATGCTGAGATTCATTAATCAAATTATGTTCTTCAAGGTGACTTCTAATAATGACAGCTATAATTGATTCTAATAATTTGCCTACTATAGATGTCAGGCTTATTGGACGGTAATTTGAAGGAATGGACTTATCCCCTGATTTGAATATAGGAATCACATTAGCCATCTTCCACATTTCTGGCACAACACTAGTAAGGATGAACACATTAAACACACACTCGTTAACCCTTTCAGGGTCGAGAGGCCCTCTCCTAAATTTGTTCTCAGGGTCGAAAATTTTTCCTGATCATAATGCCACCAAAAGTATGA